CCTAAGCAGGATGGGTTTGGGGGACACAGCCCTCATTTTCAGCATCTATTGGCCATGATGATGGCTTTAACTCACTGTGTTTATAACTGCCCCAAAGTACTCTTATTGGCTTAGCCTGCAAAGGGTGACTTGCCCAGAACAAAATTTTCTTTTACAGCTTCAGAAACAGCACATCACATTTCTGGACCTGTCTTGCTGAGTTCCCTTCTCTGTCTTGTGCACAGATGCAAAAAGCAAATTAAAATCTATGTCTCCTTTCTAGCTTCTTTAATTTCCATTGGGCCCAGCAAAGCCAAATGCTGAGTATAAAACAAATGAACAGATCTATTTTATATGAATGTCCATTGCTGCAGCCAGCCCTCAGAGGCCATCACTGAACTCACCTTTCCCACTACCCTCTGTTCAGCTGCAACAACCTCACCTACCAGTGAGTTTCTGGTTTAGGATATGAGCTCACAGCACTGAAAGCCAGGATAACCTTTGGCCCTGAATCTAGTCCTAAGGTTCTGGGTGAACTAAAGCAATGCTTGAAATAGCTACTCTCTTACTTTACCTTGTCATTGCATTTCCCAGGCCTATTCACTGCTTTGGAAATGCTTTGGATTAGAATACTTGTGTGTGAAAGGCGAGAGACAGAGCGAGATGAAACTGCATTCTTACAATATGCTAGGAGTGAATCATGAAACTTACTACAGAGTTTTTGTTGGAATAAAGACAATAAGAGGATGTGTATAAGGTGAATCCACTGCACTCACCTAGAATGTATAAAAGTTCAACCAAGGCCCTAATTTACTCTTGTTGTGATCAGTAGAGAACCAACACAAGAAACTTCCTTAACTGTGTTTTGCAGGTATTTCTGTACAGATTTAAAGACATGTATGCTTGCAGCAAGTTATCGCTAAGCAACTGGTGAACTGTATGCAACTGGAAATACAGAGGTACAAGGGCAAGTCTATGTCATGGCATCACATTGCACAGTAAAAGCTTATGTGCAGCAGTGTACATCTTTCCTGTGCACAGGGAAATCAGATGCAGAAAAAGAGTATTTTTATTTTTAGAAGATAGTAACTGAACTCAAGTGAGATCATCAGCTGATATAGGTCAAAGCACTGTATGTGCCAAAAAGAAAAGGCTGTTCTCTTCAGGCATTTTTTGCTGTCAGAACAAAATAAGATTAGCTTAGAGGTTGCCAGTTAGCTCTTTCAGAAAGCTCTCAAAGTGGGGCCCAGCTGAGGCCTGGCCTGGCTGGCTGGCACCTGACACAATGTTGTATGTTTTTGTTTTCAGTCTCGAAAATAAGGAAATGCGGTCTGCTGCCTGGGGCTTTCCGAGAGAACCCTGGTGTGCTTATTTCAGTTCTAAAATAGATCTGTAGAGCACTCAGCAGGGCTGCAGGCCCTGGCAAGTGACTGCTCAGCAAGGACTCCTGGCCATTGAGGCTGCTGTAGTGCCAGCACCATAGTTTGAGTGGAGATATCTCTCCTCCCTCCTGCAGGCACCCACTCAACCCTGGAACAGTTAGAGGAGAGGTATTTGGAGTTGGTCACTTTAAGGTCCTACCAGCAGGGAGGAGGGGGATGAACATAGCAAACAGCAGCTTAAAGGAAGAGAAACATGAATGGGGAGGGGGAGAATTTGGAGGTTAAGGCTGGGGGATGATGTCTCCCCTTGAGTATCATATGCACATTTAGCCTTCCAGGTTCCTCAGGAAGGTTCACAGGACCTCTCCAGTATGGGCCAAGCTTTCTCCAGCCAGCTTTCTCAGCAAAACCACTTTGTGTCACTGAGAACTATGGCTGTGTGCAGACGAAAGGAGGGGAATGTGTGCACAACACTTTAAAGTGGGTTAAATGCTTTTGCACTGCTTTAATGGTGTTGGTGTTTGCATGCATCAGTGTCGTATTGTGTAGTAATTCCAGCTGCTGTAGCAAATTTGGTGGCGTAAAACTCCTGCAAGGAGTTTTAGTTTGCTGCTCTATAGATGTGGAGTGAAGCGCCAGGCTTTGTGCCACTCAGGGGCTCTGCTGGAAGCCCATGCAGGCAGCCTGGCAGCAGCCTGGGAAGGCAGGCTCTGCCCAGGTTTTTTTTCCCACCCCCCAGGAGCCTGCCTGCCTTCCTGAGCTGTGCGGCGGCCTGGTGCTTCCCTCCACGGCTGTGGTGCCCCACAGGACTGCCTGAGCCAGGTACCTGCAGCTGGGTGCTGCCTGGGGTGGGGAGGGGCGCCACTGCCATGGAGGGAAGCATCAGCCCTGCCCCCCCCTGGGGCTGCTCTGCCCCGTGGCAGCTTGCCCTCCCCTCCCCACCACTGGAGAGGCAAGTAAATTTGGGTGTGTGCATGACATGGGGGTTTAAAGGGCCCTAAATTGAAGTGGTGTTTTTAAAACCCCACTGCTTCAATTTAGGGCTGTTTCATCTACACACGCCCTATTACAACAAGGTTATGACTGCACATTCTTTTGTCTTCTACTATTTCAGTCACAGACAGATATATCTATGAATATGATCTCTTCCACATGGAAAGATGGAAAATGAAACATTTGCTTTGACAGAAAGAAGAGGCTGATAGCAAATAGTGCGAGAACCACTGCTCTCAAAAAGGGCTCTCTTCTTCTCAATGTGGGCTGCAGTGAAGAGGATTTAAAAAGCACCTCCTAATCTAGACCCGATAATCTGATCACTGCCATGGTCAAAATCCATATTTCAAATTTTTATCATGCCTGTGTCACTGGCAATCCATATTTCTGCCAGACAGAAGTGCTGAATTTATCAGTGTCAGCACAATTAAAAGCTGTCAAGAAAGAATTGATTTTGGTTTGACTCCTAGGATTCAAGGAAATAACACAGATTGCATAATCTCATAAAAAATACTTATTTCAAAGAATGGAAGGCATTTAAAAAAGCTAACTATTGCCTTCTCCCCACACCCCAAGGAACTGCACTATGCACTTTATGGTTTCCATAAACACAGTCTACCTGAATCAGCATTTCCCTCCTATGGGTAAATGAAGCTTCTTGTGCTGCAGGCATTTGTGCCCTCACAGGACTAAATTATTGGCCACAGAACCATGGGATGTAGCATATAAAGTCAATTTTGTCCATGTTTGTAGCCCATAGCATTAAGAGATTACAAGCTTAATCCTAAAGGGAAATCAAGTTGCTGTTTATATGTACAATGCAGATGAGAATATTTGATGACATAAAACATTCCCCTGTGCTGTCAGAGTGCTACGAGTTGTCCTTCTAGCTAGGATAGATTGTGTTCCTCCATTCATTTCCATCACCATCTCAGGCTGGTAACAGACAACTGGTTTACTTCAGGATAAAGAATTTTATCTTGGAATCTTGCAGACGTACACACTCATCCTACTTCATGCACCTGTGAAGTAGCTGGATTAACGCTTTGCTCCAGATAATAAAGGATAATTTGAGGAAACCATTGAAACTGAGTGTGTAAATCACTGTCCCAGCCTATTTTCCATGCAAGTCAAAATCCGGGGCAATCAACTCTGGATTAAACTGGTCACCTGTTTTTAGCCTAACAGAGGCAGGGAAGATTTGCTCTGTATAGATTACCTCAAGAAAATGGATGCCGACATCAAGAGCTGGGACAAGTCAGGTGCCAATGGATTCCAATGGTGCCGCAACCTCAGCCAAGTGACAGACCGTTTCCAGGTAACATGTCATGCCCTCAGAGCAGGTAAGAGAGAATGGAGGAAGGAAAAGGAGAGGTAGCCCAGCCTGCAGCCTATTCTCCCTGGTAGAAAGACCTGCAGCTTCCGCAGACAGCTCTGTGGCTCAAGGACTGGACTCTTAAATCACTTCAGGACCCATCAATGAGCCATGGTAGAGATCATCCTCCGATTGAGGGACTGCTGAGGATGCTATAATGTATAGCAAAAGCTTTTGTGAGCTGAACTTTACTTTATGAGATGCTTACGAAGGGAGTTTCACCTCAGGAAGGTTTGTCCTAAAATATATATACAAGTCCTAAAACACACACATATATATACACACACACAACTAACCTGTGTGTGTATGTGTGTACACACACAGGTTAGTCATTATCTATCTATATAGAGATATAGATATATATATAGATACACACACACACACTAGCAACACGCACACTAGCAAATTGCCCGTCAGGAATGACGAGGGGCAGGGTGGGTGGGAACAGAGGGGGGAAAGCTTACTAATCCTAACCTGACCCCCCCAAAATGCCGCTGTCGCCTCCCAGGAGCGGGTGGGGGCCGGGAAGATTGCCCCGCCATCCCCTCCGCCCCCCGTGCCACCGCTGCCTCCAAGAGGGCAGCTGGCCTGCCCCCCTGCTCCGTCATGGCAGCACTTTTCTGTGCCACTGCCGCCGCCTCCTGTCCCTAACGTTCTTGGACGACGCGGATTGGCTGTTCCAGTATCGGGCTGTTCCGAGAGCGTTACGGACAGACGGACTGAGCCCTTTTTATATTTGAATTCTATTATAATAAAAGGCCTTGTCCGTCTGTCTGTAACGCTTCTGACCAACTGCGCATGTGCTGCCGAGAGGGTGGGTGGCGATTGGTTGGGTGGCCTGTGCTTCCCTGGCCGAAGCTTGCCCGGCTGCCAGGGAAGTTTGGTGGCTGGGAATGCACCCCAGCCATCAGAGCAGTGGGATTTCCCCCTCGCCTCCCTGCCTGAGGGCAAAGGGGTGGGCGATCACGGTGCGGGTGCCCCCCAGAACAGCCGGCAGGGAGGGGTAGGTGGCAGGCAGGGAGGAAGGGAGGAGAGTGGGGAGGCAGGCGGACCAGGAGCTGTGGGAGGGAGAAGGGGAGCGGGGTGGGGGGAGCGGAAATATGAAATCCCATCGTTTTGTGGCCAATAGCCCAGTTCTGCGAAGCTGCCACACAAGCCACATCGCGCGTGCGAGCACCGGGCAGCGGAAGGGCAGAGGCTTCTCTTCCCCCCACGGCGCATGCGCAACCTTCGGCGCATGCGCGTGAGCAGCGCGGCGGGGGCACGGCCTGCATCAGGGCATCCCCGCCCCTGCCCCACCCCCGGGCCGGTCGGGGCCTGCGGCCGCTGCAGCCATGCGCGCGGGTCGGAGCTGAGCGCGGTCATGGCCGAGTTCGTGCCGGCGCCGCTGTCGCTGCGGGAGGAGCCGCCAGGCGAGTCGGAGGCCGAGCTGTCGCAGAGCCTGGCCCGCACCAAGACGCGCTCGTACGGCAGCACGGCCTGCGTGGCAGCGCCGCTGGCCGAGCGCTACGTGGAGCACCGGCTGCGCGCGGGCGACACGCTGCAGGGCATCGCGCTCAAGTATGGCGTCACGGTAAGGCCCGGCCGACCCCCGCACTAGTGGGGCCGCGAGGCCTTGTCCCCCGCGCGCCGTCTCTCGCTCAGTTTTTGGAGCGTCGGAAGGGGCCGGAGAACGGCCAGGGCCGGGCCAGGCCTCAGACCCTCTTGCCCCACCGGGTCCCTGGACCAAGCTAAGCACCCCCCCCACACACCCGAGCAGCAAGGAGACCGGGGTTGTTTTCTCCGTCTACGGGCTTCCTGGTCTCGGTTGGCTCGGCTTCCCTCCTTTGGAGGGTGTGTTGTCAACCCTTGCTCCTGTCCCTGTTATTGTTTTACATTGGTCCACACCTAATAGCACCCCTTGAGCAACAGGGTAAGCAGTCCCTGCCACAGGTGCTAGAGCACGGCACATGAAGGCATTTTGCTTGGCACACGCACTTCAGGTTGGATGGCAGGGGAGTGGCTGGAGCGGCGCTGCCACAACAAGGGTCAGGTCCGTCACGGCTCCCCCCACCACCAGCATCCTACAAGTTGAGCTTGTGGGTGTCATTGCTGACCCCTGGGATAGGGGCTACCATTTCTTGTGGGCATCATGTCATGCAGTGGCAGTGAGCAGATACTGAAAGGGGGAGTGACCTGGGTCTGACTAGGGTTCCTCCCAACCCGGTTCCCTTCATCTGTAGCCTTCAGTATTTAAGGTCTAGGGAGTTCTGATAAAGAGACTGCACTGCTGTGTTCAGAGGGGATCCCGCCCCTTTCCTCCAAGAGTGTATCCAGCCCCTCTCTGAGCCTGGCTAAACTGTCAGCTTCCACAACATCCGGTGGCTGCGAGTCCCATGGTGTGAAAACGAACTTCCTCTTGTAGTTTAACATTCCTCTGCTGCTGAGAACTCCCACCCCAGCAGGGTGAAGTGGTTTTAACACTACCATGTCCTACTTAAATTCTTTCCCTTTATCAGTGCAAATCATAGTTGAACACTTAACAGCACCAATGCTGCACAACACTCCCATCACCCCTGAAAGTAGGACAAGGTACCTTGCCTGAGAATCACTGCCCTCTGCACAAAAGTGGCATAGTTTTCTCTTCTGAGGTGTGGTGCGTTTGCCACAGTTTGCTTCAGCTGTATGTGGTGTAGGTCTTCAGTGGACACTGATGAAATGGCTCCTGAGCCAGTTAGGTCCTAGGGCAACTGGGCTATGCACTGTGGGAAATCCTCAGCTAGCTGCTCTGGGAGATGTGGAGGTTGAGGTTAGGAATCCTTTGTTACAATGCCAGTCCTAAAACAAATAAGGTGCAGTACAAATTCTTGGTTACTGTGAATGAGAAATCTTGGGGAGATTTGAGCCTCAGGAACTGAATAGCTGGACCTCTGTGAGCCTGTGGCTGATGATGGCAGAGGAATGCCTGCTCTGGGGTGATGAATCTCAAGGTGCAGAGGGGTGTGGTGGTGCTAATGAAGGGGTGAGATGGGGTCTCCCCATCTAGTCTTCTCAGGCCAAGTATTCCTACCCCAACCCATCTAACAAGAGTCAGTGAATTTTATTACAGAGGTAAAAAGTTGTTCATTAAAATTCCAGAAAGCTTTGGAGAGTTCTCTGACAGTGAGCAGAATTTGCTACTATTGATGAAAAATATTCAAGAGAAAGCAGTTCTCCTACTTTTGTGCATATTATAATTGCTGGCCAATACCAGGGTGGAATGCATCTTGTTGTTGTAGAGTAGGACAGTTAGCCAGATGCTTTGTGAATTTTATTTTCTGACCTTCCTGTGAAGCATCAGCTGGGAGTTAGGATTGTAGTCAAGCAACTGGTTTAGATGGTTCACTGCCCATCTGGGATGGTAAATCATCAGACCATTAACTATCTGGAATTCATATTAATTTTTAAAAAATAAGTGAATCTAAGATCAGAAAAGGTGTCAGACTTATAGAATGAATTAGTGTCTATGTAGCAGGTTTTCTAACTGTAAATGAACGAGCAAGAGAGCAAGCAAGACTCTTATTATGAGATACCATCTTTTCAGGGTCAATCTGAAATACACTGGCATGAACAGATAGCTACTGTGAACAACTGAAAAATTCTTCCAATAGCATTACAACTAGCATATGCAGAGTAAAAATTGCTAATTTAGGCAGCTTGCTGCCCACCTACCCAGATATGTCAGTTATAAATCATGGCAACAGACTTTCTTTGCTTTCTTAGTGTGAAATATCTCTATTGCATAAAGGGCCAATGCAAGGCTTTTTCTGCTTCAACCATTCATTGGGGCAGGACCAGAACTAAAGAGCAGAGCAGGGAGAATTTACTGAAGAGCCACACAATAGATGAGGAAAGGTCTCTCAGTCAGCCCTCTGAAGTCAGGTGCAGACAGCCATAAAGGGAACAGGATAAAGGAAAAGTCAGCCATGGACCTCTCTCTAGATGCCTTCACTAGTTGCTATACACCATATGAAAGTTATGGGATCATGTATCAGCCTCCTGATTGGACTAGTGGTAGTTTTCAATTCTACCTCCTGCAAAGAGCCCAAGTCTCCCGGATCTTTACAAAGGAGGAGTGAGCTACACTCTCTTCAATAAGTGCAACAGATACAGTATATAAGTCCCATACAGCATTCTCCTTGTGTTTTAAAATACAAAGATATCAGAGTGAATAAAGGGAGTGGAAACAGTGATGTTAAGAAAGTAAATGCTTCACAGCCACAAAATCTAAGAATAGCATTTAAAACGACCCCAGACATGCAAAACAAACTGTTGCCTGTGCCACCACTAACTAGCAATTTCTTTGCATTCACATTGTGTTGTATGTTTAGTAAGCTCATAACAAGGTTAGTAGCTGAATACTTGCCATGAGATAATCTATTCCAACTTCAGGGCAACTTTTTGAGGTTTTCTTTCTTAATTCAATATTTTTATTTATTGTATTTGCTAAGTAGTCAGAACAAATATAGTCAATAACCAGAAGAGAGACATTCATTTCTGAATACAGGGAGCACCTGGAACCTTAGGAATGACTCAGACTTTCATTGTACCAAAGTAGATAGAGTGCCAATGTGATTTCCTGTTAGGTCTTTTGCATGAGACCTTAACACCAAGGTTTTTATCTACTTGGTGTATGTATTAAGCCAATCTATATTTATTATTTAAGATCTTTGATACTTTCCCTTTTTGTTAATTTTTTCCTCTTTCCCATTGTTTAATGTGCACATTTTGTGATCATCCTTCAACTAAGACATAACTTCAGAGTAAGATCAAGTCTGTAGAGATTGTACTGATCTTAAATTTCATCTCTGAAGGCCAAAAGCTGGAGACTTTCATGAAACTGCTTTTTTATTTAAAAAAACCCCATGAATACTGTCTAAAATGTTTCTTCCTGGACAGAATTTTTCAGCCCAGAAAGATTTCCCGTGCTCCAAAGTTTCATCAGTATAGGGTTTTGTCTTACTCCTTGATGCATTGTTAAATAATTTGCCCTTCACTGGTTTTTAAAGTAGATTGAAGTAGGACTAGAGAAGAAAGGCAAGCTGTGGGCTCACTGCTTGTCTGCCATAGAGAGCAAAGAGGAGCTGTGTTCTATGTGGGCCCCTATTTCCCTTACTTTACCTCCTGATGAAGCTGACAGTTCCATCAGGCAGTGGTCTAGCAGCTTGCATGAGCTCTCATACATCCATATTTCCCTGTTCCCTCTCAACCATCTTTAAAAAGTACACCTTTTAGCTGTCTACATAGGATTAGAATTGTGCATGCCACAAAACACATTCTTTCTAATATGCTGTCTCACATCAGCATATACAGGAATAGCCTACACAGACAGCTATATATCTTTTGCTCTAACATACAAGTAGAGCTACATCTTATCCTCACACACTAGTACAAAACAGCATCATACATTGTTTAAACAAACACTTATCTAAACACTCCGGCCATGCAAAGCATTCTAAAACTCCTAGCAGCAATATTTCCATAAAGTTCTCTTAATCTCCTTTACTGAAAATGGTCAAAGTCTGTACATCCTCCCAGAAATAAATTTAAAAAACCCCAATTTGGACTCAAACCCATCACTGAGTTCAGTGACATTGTTCTGGGTTGCTGATACATGCTGATGCAAAATGTAAGCAAAGTCTGGCTCTGTAGAGGCTTGCCTAATCAAGGCAAAACTGAATTTGCCCTTGCCTAAATTTTTGTTCATTATTACAATTTTGTTTTTCTGCCAGTATTTCTTGCTTTTAGTGGTGTAAATTGTTTTGGTAGGTTTAAATTTCCTTTAGAATTGGGACTAACATATTAGTTGTACTCTAGACAAGTCATTTGTATAAACATTTTGCTTCAGTCTTCCAGAGTGGAATTGCCATCTGGACTTTAACCTTTAAACCTCTCAATTTTTTGTTTTGATTAACTGATTTAACATACTTTAAAGTCTTATCAATCGAAGAATATACTCTGAAACAAAACAGTATTCTAACCTTCAGATTTCAGATTCTTTTTTTAAAGTTCTCCCCCTGTTAAATATATCCTCATGACAGAATGAATAGTAGGTTCTGCTTTTTGTTCACTCCCATTTGCTATCTGATATGAGGTGGATTGGGTTACAGGTAAAGCCTTATAATGTAAACCAAAGAACTTAAATGGAAACTTAGGACTAGCTTTTGTTGAAAAATCTCTTTGTATAAATAAAATGGACAGAATGAAAGGGGACTGAGCAAAAGTCCTGAAGACAATGAGTTCCATTTCATAGGGCTCAACTTAAGTCCCATTAAAGTCAATTGTCACATTAATTTTGATGGGATTTTGGTGGGTTTTAGGTTCCTGGGGCTTAGAAGTGCTCTGCAGGCCACACACACTTTTCCATAGGAGAGTGTAGTGAGGGGAGTGAAGGGCTATGGCTTCCTACAAAATGACTTCCATGCTATCTAAGGCTGCCTTTGCCTACACAATAGTTGCTTTTAAAAGTTTCCCACTGATTTCCATCATTTGGAGTTCTAGTGCAAGACAAGATGCTGCCAACTGCTACTGTCTTAGCCACTGTTATTTACACCT